CCAAGATGTCATCCGCTGCATTCTCGTTCTACGGCATCCTTGGAAACTCTCCTTTGAGGTGCTACTCCTCCGACGGGTGCACTGCTTCCCCACAGATTCTCCCTGGGGCTGCCACGCTGCGGCAAGCGCTCATCCGGCAGTCGAAGGGCACAGAATCTTTAGGCCCTTATGCTTGCTGCCGCCGTATCGAGGCTGTTCTGATCTCTGGTGACTTCATTCTGACTGTCACATCACTGACTGTCACATCACTGACTATCACGGTAAGTCCCCGGGCTGAGCCACGCCGAGCCCAGGGTGGTGCATAGGTGGTCTTGAAGCTCATTGACCGGATATCAACCTGCTCCTCTCCGCCTTGTGCACGGCGATCAGTCCTTCCGCTCAGTCTGTCACCAAATCTAAGAGCTACTGGTCAGCCTTGTTATTGCCCAACTCATCACTGGTGTATGTCACCTTGGCAAGCGGCATTCAAGACGGTGACTGTGGCCGGCTCTCACAGGCAGGGTCAGAGCGAAGCGTAGAGCGGTGATTGGGTCACTGCGCACTCTCTTGTAATTGTATTGATTTCGCTCATGTTGTCGTGCAGACGTTTGCGTGCATCTTTTTACTGTTCGCGCTCTCTTTCGACAGGGCCAAGGGACCGTGACCTTCAAACGGCTTTGCTTCAACAACATCATTCTCTGGTTCTCTTGTTGGCCGGAATGAGCAGCGGGCGCGCCGCCATCCCTTTCGTCCTGCCTACCAAGCTCTTCAGCACCGTTGTCTTCCCTCGCGCGGAATGCTTCCGTGGTTTGAGTGGCCGCCATGGTCTGCGAACAGCTATTCTCCACCAGCGCTTCTTTGAGCATGTCTAGAACGATGGGTGTGGTTCTGGAGAAGCGTTGAGACACCGCAGACTTTTTACAGGAATGTGTGCCTTGCAAAGCCTGGAGCTTTCGGCATCCGTAAGCAAGCTCCAATGCTGCAGCGTTCTTCGTGTTTGGCCGCTTGCCGAGCCTTTTCATGATCGAGAAATTCCAGGGACAACAACGATGCGGCTTCCACCCCGTGCAACGAGTAGATCGAGCGTTGCTGAGTGATACGAACCCCCTTACTTGAACACGAAGCTCACTAGCAACGATTTGAAGTCTCGATTCGGCTCGCCGCTTTTTCCCAATCGAAGGTCGGCATACATGAATGGCAAGATCCATGTGTATCGACGGTAGGCAGAGCAATACTGACGACAGCTGGATTGGAACAAGCGAGTGTCTATATCGCGCTTTGCGACCGAACCCTCGACGCTGTTCGTGCTGCTCACCTCCACGCTCGAGCTGCAGCACTGCTCACTCTATCCTCCCAGCAAACGCCGCGTCATCGCCATGATGCCCTCCGCGCCGATCGCCCAACCTGCGCTTCTTGCTGTCGCACGCAGCGTGCGGCGAATGCGCACCGGCACCCTTTCCACTGAATTGCCGTTCCCCCTTCACTCCGCCGATGCACTGCTGGCCTACCTGATGGAGCGTAGTTCGACCCAATCGGCTCGTGGGCGGCGATAGCAGCCTTCAACGAGCAGATGAGTGCGAGATACCCAGAGAATCGACCTGCAGAGGGTGTGGTGGGCCGATCGTGGTTGGCGTTACCGAAGCTGCGCTGAGGGACTCTGTGGGCGTCCAAAAGTCCGATGGATCTGCCCTCGAGGACCACGTCAGAAGCGAGAGGCCGCTCGAAGCTCTCGACCCCTCCCAAAGCTCTGAAGAAATACGACACGCGAGCCCTGCGTCATGCTCGGACTTGCGCAGGGACGCAGCTAGCGTGGCTCCCGCGAGGTGATGGAGGTGATGACAGATGCTCCAAGTCGAAGAGCAGCTGTCATGTGCCCGTGAGGAGACGCTACCAAAAGGCGAGAGCGTTCTATAGGCAAAAGCA